CCCGACCTGCCATGGACGCGGAAGGCCAGAGGAGCAGGAACCGAGCGGCTGCACAGGCCCACCTCCTTCCACCCCCCGTTCCTCCCAGCACCGAGCGCCCCCCTTCAAGAGAGGGCAGAAGATCCACCCCCCTTATCATCACCCCAACAAGCGACACCGCTCAGTAAACGCACCCAGGGAAGGGATCAAACAGAGCAAGGCTTCCAGTAAACGCCCAGGGCCATTTACTGAACGCCACTTGTCCTGTCCAGGTGGTTGTTCCTCCCTTGATTCAAGTCGAAGACAGAATCGAGACATGATCGGACCGATGTGGATCGGAAATATCTGAATATCGGCGCGTTGGAGGATGCATCGGGCGCCGCGGCCGTTTCAGAGCGTCCCAAAACGCTCTGCGACCGTTCCGGGACGCTCTGACACGGAATCGTCTCGATCTCAGGCCCGCCCCGACCTTTGGAGGCGCAGGTCAAAAACGAGCACATAGCACCACAAACATCGCGGATTCGTCACCTGGCGCCTGCCACCGAGCATCTGCTATAATAGCGTCTGACGCGCGCGCGTCGCCGATGAGGCCCGAGGCACACATGGCGGAAGTATGTTTGGGCGACGCCGGCCTGGGGGAGGAGGAGGAGGAAGAGGAGGGGGAGGAGGAGGAGGAGGAGGAGGTGACGGAGGAGGAGGAGGAGGAGGAGGAGGAGGACGAGGCGGCGAAAGCGGAAGAGGAGGAGGAGGAGGAGGAGGACAAGGACAAGGACATCCGCAGATAGGGGGTGAACGTCATCACCTACGAAGAAACTGTACGCGGGCCCTGCGTTTAGATTGCGCCGCAGACCCAGACGTCTCACGGGGGCCGGCTGGGGGCGTGCCCCGAAGCTTCAAGGGGCGAGCTCCGAGGTGGCCCCGTAATAGAGGCTCGCTACCTTGTGAGTACGAGCCCCTACGGGTCATTGCGGGGGGAGCAGCTGTTGGCCTCTCGCGTGCCCATGACAACGGGGACGCGCTGGGCGAGTAGGGCTCCTCAGCGAGGGGGGAGAACGACGACGCGACCTCACTCGACGCAAGGAGAAGAGGAGGGGATGCAGGAGGCCCTCGCTTGCCAAGAATTGCTGGGGGGCGAATTAAATTCTACCCACGACCTGCTCTTCCCTCATCCCAAATAGAGTATATCTCTCTTTCTCTCTCTCCCTCTCTCTTTCTCTCTCTCTCTTCAGGCTCACTGCTCTTCCTGGGCGTGCTGGCCGTTGGTTGTCCCATGCAACGTCGTGTCTGCATCAGGATACTCCGTAGTAGTATTCCAATTGTACTTTGCTGTACCCCTCGGTTCGGCGTGCAAGTACGGGCGCGAATAATTATTGTTGCCACGGCGTGTAAGAGGTAGGCTTTTCCCCCGTCTGTCAGCCATTCGTATCACTGCCGATTCCAAAGGGGAGGGGCCCTGAGGGATGCGTTCCACTGGCCTTTGTGGTTATATCGTTTTCCACTCGTCGCCCCCCGCAGTAGTGCACCTGTCGGCACTCCAAAAGCCAATATCCAAGACGTTATCTTCGCGAGCTCCCTCCTGAGGGTCCTCGCGCCGAGATGTCCCCGCGAGCGATGGTCCCTCTGAGCCAGCCCGTTTTGCCTGCCTAAAGTCCTACTCCGAATATCCCCGCTAGTGCTCCTGTTGGCGCTGCAAGTGGGCTCTCTCACGCGCGGCCGCTGGAACTGGCCGCTTCACCTGACTCGGCGTACTTCTCGAAGATCCCTGTGCCGTCCAGCAGGGTCTTCGTGCAGTCGCGGAGCTGCTGACGTTCTTTGAGTCTCTCGACCCCCTCCAAATCGAGATTCGTCTCATCTTTCTTCTCCCGCATGGCCGCCTCCATGACGCTGCGCAGGTTCTCCGCGTCGTTCTTCGAGGTCCGCAGCACCAGCTCGCACCAGCTGCGCGTAGAGAAGAACCTCCTTCCTGCAGCTTCCCACATGCCCACTGGGTACCTTGCGATCAGCGCGCAACTCCCGACCTGGTGCGTCATCGGGAAAGACGGTGGGATCAGCTCGTGCAGCTCCTGCGGGCTCATCTTCGGGGTCGCGTCGTAGAATTTGTAATAACTCCCTTCGGTGGCGTCGTCAAGCTTCTGCGGCAGTCTCGCTGCTACAAACGTTTCCTACCTTGAGCTCCACCACCATAGATGGCCAACGCTTGTACGGATGGAACTTCGCCTTGCACCCGATGTCGGGCCACTTCTCGCCGTCCTCGCCGAAATCTTTCTTCATTTTGTCCACACACTCTTTCATGAGCTCGTCTTCGGGGGAGCTCTCCTGTGTCGTCACCAGCTGCTTCCAGTCCACTTTGCGCCAAAACTTCCACTGCTCTCCCATCGAATTGGGGCTTGGGCCTTTCCACCACAGCTTGCTAGGGAAGGCCAGTCCGCACGGGCAGGCGTAGTCTTTGTGTTGCGTCCCATCCCGTGCTCCTCCTGCACATGTTGAACAGGTGCATGCCGTCGCTCCACTTGCCCCCGAAGCCAAGCGCCTTGAAGTACTGTGTTTGCTTCGCTTCCATGTTCTTTGCCGTCTTGTAGTCGCCCGTCTCGTACAGTTTCTTCTCCTTCTCTTCTGGCTCCTGGAGGAGGAGGAAGAGGCAATCGAGGTGGCGAAAGCGGAGGAGGAGGAGTAGGAGGAGGAGGAGGAGGAGGAGGAGGAGGCGGAGGAGGAGGTGGCGAAAGCGGAGGAGGAGGAGGAGGCGGCGAAAGCGGATGAGGAGGAGGAGGAGGAGGAGGAGGAGGAGGAGGGGGAGGAGGAGGCAGTCGAGGTGGAGGGATCGAAAACTGCAGGGGAGGGTGGCCCTCCGCGGGCCCAGGAGATTGGCCCACATGCACTGCGACCGCGGGCTTGGGCACGGCGCGCTGCTCGGGCCTCCTGGGCGGCCTCGGACGCCCAGACGACCGAAGAACACAGCATTCCCCAAAGCATTGCAAAACAATTGAAAGTCCAGGTTTCCAGCGTGGGCTTCCCCGAGCACGGCGGACGAAATGCCGCGGCCTCGGGGACGGCCCAAGGGGCGGCCAAGACGACCAGACCAGACAAGACATGACACATCGAGGCAAGACGTGGCCGGGCACGCCAAGACAGCGCCAAAGTCGTGCCAGGATGGCCCCGTGACGCCCCGAGGGAGCTCCAAGACGGCCCACGGCGCCCCCATGTTTCGCTGCGTCGGGCGCGCGTTTCCTCTCCCGCCGTTCACCGCCCCCCCCGCGCCAGCGAGCACCCCCTCTGCCTCCTCTGACTGGTCTCCCGGATTTTCCGCGAGGCGGACGAGCGGGGCGGCTCTGTGTGCACACAAGTGTCGGACGCCATTTCTTTTTCACAGCGTGGGCCCCCAAAGGTCTGGAGCCCTTTCCAGGGACAGGTTGTTCGTCCCGAGTCAGTATCTGACGGCCCTAAGGCCTGATGGGGGTCCGAGAGACCGAAAATGACAGAGACCTCCAGTAGAAATTTTCGAACCGAGAGGAGGCGGGGACAGTTGCCCTCATCCGAAGAATAGACAAGCGCGTTCCACGACTCGCACTGCAACTCCTCACACATGGCCTGGATCCGATGCGGGGGGGTCTACGATCAATTAATTACATGGAGGCAGACATGTGTGTTTCGGACGCTTGCGTGCTGGCGATGCCAATGGGATGTTCAACTTCCCCGCTGGAAGCTCGATTCAAGCAACCATGACAAAAAGGAACTGCTGGCTGCCCAGTCTTCGCCTGCACCAGGCTTGCGAGCTCGCTGGCTCAGCCTCCTTGGGCGAGCAACCGGCTGCGGAAGAGACCTGTGCAACAAAATGTGCTGAAGCCTTTGACGGCTCAACGACATTAAGACATTAAGGCTTGGCGAATAGTAAAACGCGCTCGGTGAAAGGACGTTTGAGCAGGGACCGACCGTCCCGGTATTCCCATCGGCCTACAACGAACTATTCCCAGAACCTGAAGATGTGCGAAGGACAAACACAGTGCTCTTCGAGCACGGAGCCGATGTGCTCAAGCAGGACAGCCCCAACCAAAAACGCGCTGCTCCAAGAGCATGTCGCGCAAACCGCAGAAAGCTTCTTAGAACACTCTCTGGTGGGCCTGTAGGCAAGCCGGGACGCCCCAACACCGCTTGAGACGTCGCCCTCCGCGGGGCCTGCCCGGCCATGCCAGCAAGCAGCCCGCGCCCATGGGGCGCCCAAGCCCGGGCGCGCCGCCACACGGGGGCTCCCGGGGCGCGGGGGGAGGAGCGCGCGCCCCTGGGGCCGGGGCCGGGGGGGCCTCCTCGCGGCGCCTGCGCCGCAGAGGGCTGCCAGGGAGAGCCCGAAGGGGGTCGTCGTCGTCGTCGTACTCGTCGTCGTACTCGTCGTCGTCGTCGTCGTCGTCGTCGTCGTCGTCGTCGTCGTCGTCGTCGTCGTCGTCGTCGTCGTCGTCGTCGTCGTCGTCGTCGTCGTCGTCGAGGGCGGCCTCGGTCAGGAGGGAGAGCCAGGGAAGCAGGAGGAGGACCGACGAGGGAGCAGGGGGGGAGCGGGGGGAGGCCGGCAGGGAGGAGGGGCGGCGACTGCCACCGCTGGGCCTCCGCGGCCGCTGGTGGGCCCGCCAGGGTTGGTCGCGTGACTCTCCGACCAACACGGCGGCTTGTTTGCCTGCCCCCCACCAATGGGACGCGGCAGCGGCCCCGGTGAGCGCGTCGCAGAGGCGCCATGGAGAGGCCCCAAGAGAGCCTCAAGGTGGCTCCAGGAGGCCAAGAAGGCCCCTGGAGTGTTGGAGGCTGGCTGGGTTGACCCCTCTCCCATGCGGAGGGCAGAAGAAGTCTCGCAATGAGCACCCCTGCAAGCGAAGCCCTTCAGTGAACGTGCCTACGGATGGAACCGCACAGGACAGGACTGTCTCTGGTAAGCAACCATGACTGTCCAGGAAGCCTCAGCCTTGAACTTTGACCGTTGCCCTCCCCTGTTTGCTTGATTACTGTTCCCGCGCTTTCCCTTCTCACAACAATTTGCCCAGGAACCGTCTTTGGGTGGGCTGCTGAGGATGCACGATTTTCGAAAATCAATGCAGTACCGAGGTGCCAAGCCGAGGTCCCCTGCAGTGCATCGCCGAGGTCCTCGCATGAGCGCGCACTCTGCGGCAAGAGGCAAACCGCGCATGCTGGACTGCGCCACGCTGAGACAACCTAGCTGGACTGCAGATTTCTGCGCAAACACGGCGGCCAAGCGCCTGAGCACGCACGGCGCGACCACGCCACTCGAGCCGTGTGTGCTCACAGCTGCCACCCTGCAGGTGCAGAGCAAATTCGCTGACTCTACGCCCGCCGGGCAAACTAGAGAGAGGGAGAGAGAGAGAGAGAGAGAGAAAGAGAGAGGGAGAGAGGGAGAGAGAGGGAGAGAGGAACAAAAAAAAGGCGAAGCGAAGGCCCGGACAACACTCGCGCCTACGACGCGACGGCCCGGGCACGGCAGGGCGGCACCACTGGCTGCGGTCCCCGCTTTGTGGGAGCGGCTGATGCTGCGGTGCTCGTCCTTCCCCCACGCCACTAGAAGGGAATTCGCGCGTGCGTGCCCCTTCCCGGTGAAGACGGCGGGACTCGCAGAGGTGCCCAACGCAAGTGGGGGAGGACAGAAGAGGGAGGAGGAGGTGGAGGAGGAGGAGGAGGAGGAGGAGGAGGAGGAGGGAGGAGGGACGATCAACTACAAGCTTGCAGAAAGCCTCGATGCCGAAGCAGAGGAGCCAATGCCAATAGCAATCGGCCGACAATCCGCCGATCCGGCGTGTGAGTTCAAGAAAGCTACAACCTGAGCTTCAACTCTGCTGGGGGGGGGGCCAGAGTGGCTCTGCCAGGGTAGGGGGGGGGAGGGGGGAGGGATTCATGGGGTCCACCCTTTCTTCCCCCCCCCGGGAATCCCAAATCGCCCCAAGACGGGCCAAAAGGGGCCCAGGAGGCCACCAAGACGGTCCAGGAGGCGCCCGAAACGGCCCAAGAGCGCTCCTGGACGCCCAAGATGGCCTGACGACGGCCCAAGAGGCCTCCAGGACGCCTCAAGGAGATCCCAAGAGGACCACCAAGAGGGCCCCAAGAGGGTACAATAATAAAGTTGCTAATCGGTTTTGAAGCATTTTAACAGTATCGCCTTTTCCGTCTTAGAAGCGCCGAAGACGGTCCAAGAGGCCCCCAATATCGCCCCCAAACAACCCAAGAGGAGCCAAGACGGTCCAAAGGGGCCTTAATATAGCCCTGGAGGCCCCCCAGGACGACCCCGAGAGGCCCCCAAGATGGCCTCAATAGGGTGAATCCGAACGGACCCTTCTAGTCCTCCACCCCAAGATGACCCCAAGAGCCCCCAAGATGCCCCCGAGGCGCCCCAAGGGGCCCCCAGAGGCCCCCAAGAGGTCCCCAAGAGGCCCCCAAGAGGACCCCGAGAGGCCCCCAAGAGGCCCCAAAGGCCCCCAAGAAGCCCCAAGAACCAAGAGGCCCCAAGAGGCGCTCACTCGCGTGCTGCCAGGCCAGAGGTGCACGGCCTGATTTTGTATTGCTCGGAAGCGAAAGCGATGAACGAAGAACCTTCCACCCGTCGCCGTCACCAGTCGTCGGTCGTCGGCCGTCGGCAGCCGTCCGCCGTCAGTCGTCGTCGTCGTCGTCGTCGTCGTCGTCGTCGTCGTCGTCGTCGTCGTCGTCGTCGTCGTCGTCGTCGTCGTCGTCGTCGTCGTCGTCGTGGTCGTCGTCGTCGTCGTCGTCGTCGTCGTCGGTTCGTCGTCATTAACTCCTTCGTCTGTCGTCGTCGTAATTATCCCGCTCGTCGATCGTTGGTCGTCCGTTGTCGTCGTCATCGTCCATTTCAACAACAATAGCACCAGGAGCGCCCCGGATCGGCGGCACTGGCCGGAGGCCGCTACAATACAGCAAACTGAAGCACCACGCGCACGGCTATACCTTGATAGCGAGCTACTCCAGATTTCGTAATAAAGGGAGGGGGGTCTCATTTCGGGGGGGGTCTCTTCCAAGCTATCTTGGAGGGCCTGGGGGGGTCTGGGGACGATGTTTTGGAGGGTTTCCACGGGGGGGGGTCTGAAATGGCTTGTCTTGGAGGGTCCAGACCCCTTCCCTTTTATTACGAAATCTGGAATATATTGAGCCATGGGTGCAACCTCACGCCCACCACCCTGAGGCACACAACCATGCCATGCCGGCCTAGGGCCAGTAGGACATGCAAAGCCGGAAGGGGCCCGGCGACCGGCGAGCTCCATATGGCCGAAGCTCGGCGGAGGGCGGGCGCCGCTGTCTTCAGGAGCGCTGCTGTCCCCCAAGATCAGGAGGAGGAGGAGGAGGAGGAGGAGGAGGAGGACAGGGCGACCTGGCCTGCGGGCGGTTTGCTGCGAGCGCGCGTCGGCTCCACGGCTCCACCGAGAACACCGTCCGCAGCGCAGCCAGAGCGGCCCATACTGGAGTCGGCACAGACAAGACTGCCCGTGCACATCCTGCCCGCCCGCCCCCCCCAAAAAAACGCAGGGTGGACGACCCGGGAGAGCAACAGCAGCAGGGGACAGAGGAGGGAACGACACCCGGGACAAGGACGAGCCCGGGGCTGGGGGAAAAGAAGAGAGCGAGCGACAGGGGAGACGACCGCCGAGAAGAGGGAGGAGGGCGAAGCCCGGGTCCTCTTCTCCTCCTCCTCCCCCTTGTCCCTCCCCCTCCCCCTCCCCTCCCCCTCCTCTCCATTCTCCTCCTCCTCCTCCTCCTCCTCCTCCTCCTCCGACAATGTTCCTCCTCTTGCCCGAGAGACGAGCATGAGGGAGAGCGGGCAGAGGAGCGACACGCAGGACAGGGCGGAGGAGGGGCGACGAACGACGCCGCCCGTGGCGGGCAGGTGGGCGACGGGGCGATGTGCACGCTGTGGTCGAGCGCTCTGGATCTCCACTGCCACGAAAACACGCGTGCACACGCGGAGCACCACAACGGCACCTCGACTCGGGGGGGGGGGGAGTGGAAGAAGAACAAACGCCACAAACAGAAACTGTTGGCGCTCTGCGCGGATGTCTTGGATCTGCGCTAGACCCCCCTCCCTGGCGCGCGGCGCGCGCCAGGGGCGGCACCAGAGGCGCCGCCAGAGGGGGCCCAGCGCGGATCCAAGAAATCAGCGCCAAAAGTTTTTGATTATGGTTTTCGTTGTTCTTCTTCGAGGTTCTGCACGAACGACATTACAGACATCCTGGATGGGGTCCGAGCAGATGGGGTCGGAGGATCGCGCCGCATCGCCGATACATCGGCGATGCATCGGCGATGTATCGGCGATGCCTCGGCGATGCATCGTCGACGAGGGCGAGCGCCAAACGTGTATGTTTGTGGCGCTTGTTCTCCTGCGAGGAAGGCGCGGCAGAGGGAGGGAGGGCGGAGGAAACACTCCGTGGGGGCCAAGCTCGTACATCTACAAGACATTCGAAGGCCCAAAGGCTATCCTCAGGATGAGGATCCAGAACGCCTGGGCGCGCTGGCCCCGAAGCTACACCGAAAACTGGTGCACTGCCCGGGGCCCCAAGCCCGAGCACGAATGACCCGAGCCTGGGCCCACGGACTCCTCTGCACCGGGGAGACGGCACGCGCTCTCGTCGGGCGCTCTGGGCCGCCACGGCCGCGGCCAGGTCGCTGGCCTGCGCGCACAAATCGCCACTGCGAAACAGACGAGGAGGGGGAGGGGGAGGGGGAGGGGGAGGGGGAGGAGGAGGAGGAGGAGGAGGAGGAGGAGGAGGAGGAGGAGGAGGAGGAGAGGAGGAGGAGGAGGAGGAGGAGGAGGAGGAGCGAACGTCGCCGTGGAGGAGGAGGAGGAGGAGGAGCGAAACGAGAAGGAGGAGGGACGAGGAGAGGGCGTCCTGGGAAAACAAGAACCACCTCGGGATGTGGGGTAAACATACTCCAGCGGCCGTCATAGTTGACCTCGCCTGTGGTGAAACACGCAAGCACGGTCACAACCATGCCTCCAACCTCCGATAGAGAAAAACGCAAGTAAGCATATCACCCCCGTGGTCGCAGCCCGTTCGTCCTAGCTGAAGCAAGCTGGTACCAAACGGTGTCGTCGTAACATATGGCGCCGTACACTTTCTGCATGTCTTGAAACCTACACATGGGCGAGATCTGCTAGCTGAAATCGCTCGCATCCATGGCCGATGACTCTGCCTGAGCCCGTCCTTCTGCTATCAGGGACTGCTTGGCTTCATCCTTTTGAGTAGATTCATCCGCTGGATGATGTCGGAGGCCATCGCTGCCAGAATGCGACGGCCAAGGTAGCCAACCGACAGGGGACTTGTTGAACTTCGTGATGGCACCCCCCAGCGAGGCCACCGCAAAGAGCACGGTAAACAGCGCCACCACCCACCAGCCGAGCGGCACCTCCTGCGCCGCTGGCGTAGCCGATGTCGTAGTAGTCGTAGTCTCCGCCGAGTGTGCCGCTCGGTCGGCCAGTTTTCCCCGCGCTTCGAGCCCGTCCCTGTACCTCTGCAGGTTGCGCTGCACGTGCTCCCTGGAGCAGTTCCTGCAATTGCGCGGAGATGCGACCGCCTTGTCTCCCTCGTTCCCCGCGTGGTCGATGTTCACGATCTCGAGCCTGTCCTTGGTCAGCGTCATGATCATGTAGCCGTACTGCGAATCTCCAGCCAAATGAGGCATGTAGTCAGACGTAATGCCACCCCCACCCCCAGACACGACCCAGACGGTGGGTGCCAAGAAATTCGTGTCGTCATTACCGTGAACCTCCTGCCGGTGCAGATGACCAGTCAGAAAAGCATCTATTCCATAGTCATCGGACAGACTCCTGAAAAGGACTGGCGCGTACACTGGTGGGAAATGCGTGACTACGATCTGCCAACCTGCTGAAGAGTTCGACAAATGCAGATGAACCCATTCCAGCTGATCTTGCCACAATTGATCGAACCAATCCTTGCAATCGAAAACTCCAGCTGGTCCACCTTCAGCTGAGCAGTCTGTATCCTCGTTATAAGCGTAGCTGCAGATGTTTGAGCCCATTTTCGTGAACGGGTCGAATGCGTCGAAGATGTTCGAGTCGAGGAAAAAATACTCGACGGAGAAATTTACATAGTGAACCGTACTGCGCCAATAGAGGGCGGGCGTGACCCAACGACTTGGTTTTCCACCTTTGGGATCCTTCCAGGTGTACAGGATGCTCTGGTCCCAAGCATTGTTGTACAGGAACCCTCCGTAGTCGTGGTTTCCTAGCACACCGAGCCACTGAAGCCCGTCAATGCCATCGCCGGTGTAGATGGCCTCGAAAATGTCGTCCCACTGGGCCGAGAAATTACTCATATTGAGGCGTGTCGCACAGCACTTCTGTTCCACTCCACCCCAGTAGAAATTGTCTCCGACGTTTATGATGTAGTCCGGATGCAACCTCGCGGCTCCCTCTTTCATCTGGTCAGCGACCCTCTGCTGCGCTCGGTCGTCCAGGCCGTCGAAGAAGCTGCGCTTATGGAAACCCTCCTTCCGGTGATCTGCGGTGACGGGCCCCTTCTCCGGATCACCAGAGGCCAGGCCGCCCCAGTCACCGATGATGAACACTCGGTGCGCGCCCGTGGAGTTGATGCAGGTGTCAGGCAGTCGCACCCCGTTGAGCTCCACAACGGTCCGAGCAGGGCGCGGCGGCTCGAAGTGGGCGTTGCAGAGGTTCCAGTCCACACCTGTCCCATGCTTCTTCCAGGGTTCGTCCGAGGCGTTGGGAGCGTTGCCTCCGCAGACGTCCTCGAAGTCGGAGCAGCACGTCTGCTCCTGAACGCACTCGGAGTCGCACTGGCAATTCTGAGAGCCGCTGTAGCCACCGCACCCGTAGTCCCCGCAGGACGAGTTGAGGGTCTTGGGCAAGCAGACCACCTGGAAGTCCGAGCAGCAGTCGCCGCGGTCTTCACAGTTCGCGTTGCACTGACACTCCTGTTCCGCGTTGAAATCCCTGCACCCAACGATTGCGCAGAAAACTTATGTTGTTGTGCTTGTGCTAGTCCATGTCGTGCTCGTAGAGTTGGCCGCTATCTGCGGGACCGTGGCCAGACATAGTAGAAAGAGCCTCCAGGACATCTTGAGGCACAAGGCTTGAGCCAAGAATGTGATGCTGGACACGCGACCCTCCACCCCTGGCCCAAATGGTCCGCGCAACACACTTCGTCAGCCACCGGCTTCCCAGGGCCTCCCAGATGACTGTGGCGTGCCCAAGCCAAGGCGCGCTTACGAATGCCTTCCAGAGCTTGCGGCTTGAACCATTTATTTGCATGCTAGCTAGGGGCATTCTGCTTCACTTGCTGGAATTATGCCGACCGTTGTCCACATTACTTGTGCATCCCGCCCTCTGCTTTACATACATGTTGTAGTGTGAGTGAGCTTTGGCGTTGGCATTGTCTTTGTCATTGCGCCTGCTAATCATGTTTTGCATGGACATCACCATCCATAATCTATGATGCTGGGCATGTCAATGTGGATGCAGCCTCCACGCCCTTCTCGTATCATCGACCACGCCAAAACTGATTACGAGTGCTCCCACAACTCTTGCCTCATCGCCGCCGAGCTCATAGGGCAAACGAAATTGAACCTCCCTGGGAGGAAGGCACACCATTCGCGGCGACTAGATCAGCGCCCGAAGCTGGAGAGCAGATGCCCGCGCATTGGCTGACAGGAGGCTACACTCACGCAGGCAACGTCGCCTCCAGTCAGGGGAGGAGGGGGAGAGGGAGGAAGGACGGACGAGGGAGGCACATCCTGTCCGGAACAAGCTGGGCCTGTGCGCACAAGCCCGTGAGAATGATCCAGGGGGCGCGGAAGCCGTGCCGACATCCTGGCAGAGTGCCGGGAGAAGCGTCGAGGCTCCCCTTCGCACGCTGCTTGGCCACTCCCTCGCCTCTGCTGACCGCCACACGGCTGGTCCCGCTGATGCCCAGGGCTGCACCGTGGGCAGGGCTGCGCCGCAGCGGCGGCGAGCACGCCCAGAGACCCGCCGCGGCCGAGCCGCCGGCAGCAGCGGGCGGCGAGAGCCCGTCGGCGAGGAGATCTCTCGAGGGCTGCACGGCCCCGTCGCCGATCGACACAGCGTCGTCGACACCAGCCATCAGCGTGGGCCACGTGCGTTGGTCCCAGCACTTCACGTCGGGGCCCATCCGAATCGTCGACTCCACCGACGGCGGGATCTCCATGACTTCCCGTTGCCAGCCCTGGCCGCCTGCAGTAAACAGTCGGAGACCAGCGGCTCCACGGCGATGAGCCGTGGGCGGTTCTGGCCGTGGCGGGCCCAGAGATGTGAGCACACTCCCGTCGATATGGCGCCGGTTTTACAGTAGAATTCACGTGGACGTGGGTCGGCGGCAGGGCTTCCTCTGGTGCCCACTGCTCGATCCATCTCCTGGGCGAGCACGGTGGATCCCTCGAAGATATGCCGCGGAATGTCCGTGTAGCCATCCGAGGCGGCATCCTGCACCAGGGTCCGGCCTTCTGCCTGCGCTGTGTGCTGTGCAGCGGCAAGGGCGTCTTTGCAAGCACCGTCAACCCTGTGCACCTTTGCGCCGAAGCTGCGGATGCGCTCGGCTATCAGCTCGCCCATGCTATTATGCAGGAGCACATGGCAAAGGATGGCTCCACGCCCAATCATCTTGCAAGCCCAAGCGACACCAAGGCCATGGTTATCTGCAAAGGCCGTCGCTAAGACTGCTCGAGGCCCACCCTCCGCTATCGCATTTGAAACAGCGGCGCCGCCGCCCAGTGCGTTGAAGGAGCCAACTCCGAACTGTTTTGACTCATCCCTGAGCCGCAATTCGCCGACGCCACTGATGTCAGTCAGTTCTGGAGGCGCCCGTCGCACGGGTGATTGGACGTAGTCGGGCCACGATGCGATTATCACCTTGGCGCGCGCGTGGCCTTCAGGTTGCACCGACACGCTGGACGGCAGCAGGGCGTCGGGCGGTGCCGCCGACGCCTTGTTGTCGGAGTGCGGCCAGCGCCATGCGCACGCGGACTGCAGCAGGTCATGCTCTCGCGCAGCTACTGAGAACGTGTGTCAGCATTGGGCGCTTGAGCGAGAGGGAACCAGCGCCATCAGGGCACAAGCGGGGCAGCCAACTATCCTGCCTCCCCGATCCTGATCTGCGAGCTGGAACTGCGATGAAAAAGAATAACCATGGCACCAGTAATGACGATGGGGTGCGATAAAGCCAAGAACATACTGCGCTGTGAATCCCGACCTCCGTATCGCCGTGAGGGCCCCAAGAACCGCTAGAAATGGCGTGAGAGACGCAACGCAATACCATCTTCCTGGAGCAAAGTCAGAGTGAGTGGGCCGAACGGTCATTCACTGTCCCCAGGTGCGTGGCTGAAGTGGGACTCAGCGGCGCGGAATCTGCCTGTTGTTGCGTTGTTGTTGTCGTCCCCCCCCGCGACCGGGCCCGCGACCCACCCGCGACCCACCCCGCGACACACCCGCGACCCACACGGGACCCACCCGCGACCCACCCGCGACCCCACCCGCGAGACACCCGCGACCCACCAGCGACCCACCCGCGACACACCCCACGACCCACACGCGACCCCACCCGCGACCCAACCGCGAGCCGCCCGCGAGCCACAAGCGACCCACCCCGCGACCCGCGTGCGACCCACCAGCGACCCACCCGCGACCCACCCACATTGCTTTAACGAACAAATTCGCGCCCGCGGCGGGCTCGTTATCGGCGGGTTTCTCGACACGACGTCCACCCCGCCCCCTCACTCTTACCCGCAACTGCAGGGTGCTACGTATCTTTCGATCCAACGTGGGTTCAATACGGTCCTCGGAAGCCCGAGCATTGGAACATTGCCCAAATATGATCAACATGGCATCGAGGCAGCCCCCAGATGCCAGGACCCGCGGACTGCCAGAACCACACGGGGCGGTGCAAAGCCTCTGCGAGCAGGACGGGGTGGGCACGGGAGGGCGTCGTGTGTCTGTTCCACGGTCAAGGAAGTGCGTCATCGCCGCCACCACCGAAGGAGTGCACTCTGGCCCCCGCCATTTAGTCCATACGCTGGCAGCTCACAGGACTCATTGAATTCGTATTCCCTCCCTGCGTCGCAGTGTTGCTCCTCAGCTCCTCATCGTCCCTCCTCCTCTTTTCTCATCTCCCCTCTCCTCCTCCTCCTCCTCCTCCTCCTCCTCCTCCTCCTCCTCCTCCTCCTCCTCCTCCTCCTCCTCCTCCTCCTCCTCCTCCTCCTCCTCCTCCCCCTCCCCCTCCCCCTCTCCTCCTCCTCCTCCTCCTATTCTTCTTCTTTCTTCTTCTTCTTCTTCTTCTTCTTCCTCCTCCTCCTCCCTCCTCCTCCTCCTCCTCCTCCTCCTCCTCCTCCTCCCTCCTCCTCCTCCTCCTCCTCCTCATCCTCCTCCTCCTCCTCCTATCCTCCTCCTCCTCCTCCTCCCTCCTCCTCCTCCTCCTCCTCCTCCTCCTCCTCCTCCTCCTCCTCCTCCTCCTCCTCCTCCTCCTCCTCCTCCTCCTCCTCCTTCCTCCCCTCCTCCTCCTCCTCCTCCTCCTCGTCCTTTTCCTCCTCCTCCTCCTCCTCCTCCTCCTCTTTTTGGCAGCAACGCCAATGCCTCAAGTGAAACCTGGGCCGACTGAGGCTCGGTCGGCATGGAACCTCCTCAAGGGGCCTGGTGTCCTACACAACACCTTACAAGACGCCGCCAGGGAGGCTAGAGCAAGGAGACAAAATCGTCCAAGTCGACGGAAAAATGATCCTTGTCAGGGTGGCGGTCAGCTTTCACCCTCCTCATGTTACGACCAGACGTGACAGACGGCTTGCCACACTCCTTGCCCTATGTGACGACCTGCGAGCCAGAACTGTAAAACTTGCAGGACAGGCACAAAAACAAATGTTATTGATCCGAGCATGGGAACGCAACGACTTTGTGCCCCAGACCGAGCAGCGTTCCCTGGCCCAGCCTCGAATGCACCTGGCAGTTCCCAAAAGGGGGGGACTTTGCCTCGAGAGCCTCTCAAGCAAACTCTACATTGCCAGAAACGGCCGGCCTTGCCCAAGAGGTGCCTAACTTCCAAAGAGGGGGGGAGCCTCAGGAGGAAAAGGGAGGGATCTGGGCGTACCTCGGAACTCCAGTCTCGGCCAAAGTGGTAGAAGAGCCGCGCCAGCTCGAAGAACAAGCCGCGCGACCTTGATCGTGTGACCCAAGGCCTGAAACTCCGTAGGCGTGGCCGAAGGGCGCAGCGACGCTCCCTCCTTCGCCGCAAGATCAGCGTGAAAATTCCCCAACCTCCGAAACCTCTCTTCGGCGGAAATCCCATCATCGTCCAAACGACGGTGGGCCGACACCTTTATCAGGACACGGAGGTGGGGGCCATACTCGAAGGATCCCTGCAGGACAAGACCACTGTGCTGTCTCTTCCCACAGAGCGCATCCTCCCCGAGAGCTACATGATCCACGACACTCTGACAGTCAGAAAACCCAATAGACGGAGCAGACGCATAGGCCCCAGACCAGGCATACGCCGCAAAGTCAGCCGCTTGCGGGGTCTGGGGATACGGAGCCCACAGGGGACCCTAGAGAGTGCCCAGGAGCTCGCCATCTTTCCCCATCAAGACAACAGCCCAGCCTGCCCGAGACAACTACTTGACAAAAAGGATAGCCCCAGATGGAGCCCTCTGGAGCTACCCTTTCAGAGCCACAGGCAGGAGGAGGAGGAGGAGGAGGCAGGCAGGTCCTGAGCTTCCCACACAAGAGAGACAGCACCAACACTCAGAGGGGGAGGCATAGTGTCACCAGGATGCCGACACGCACCATGCCGAAAGAGAACTCTGTCGTATCCAGGGTCATCCACATCACAAGCGGCGCAAACCAGCCAATCTGGCAATGCCTCCTTGCGCTCCTTCGACACTGCAGGGCACAAATATAAACGGTGATGCAACGTGCCAAGCGCACCTTCATAGAGCGGGCAGCGATCAAAACAGCGCAGCCGGCTCGCACTGCATCCGCACCAATCCAAGAAGCCTTGGTGGCTTGCGCACGCATGCAGGCTTTGGACTTGCCCGAGATCTTCGAAGAGCCTAACTGCTGCTTGACAGCATTCCAGCACAGTCTATGCCCCACTCCATAGCGCCCACCTGACCCCCGCTCAAGGTTTCTGAAAACCGCACCCCTGCAGAGGACCTTGAGAAGAGACGGAGACGTGAGAATCATCGAAATATCCCTGCCGAAATCGTCCTTGAACGAAGTGAAGTCGGGCATGGTCCAACCCAACCTATACAAACGCCTACGCAGGGTCGACAAAGGCCCTCTAACTTTAGCCCAGGAAAGGTCGTCACGCTGAAAAATCTGGGCCCATCTCTCACGGAGCTCGGCCCACGACAAGCACCAGCGGAAGGCTCTGGTGTGGCGCAGCCAGATTCCTTCGCACACCGCAGAATCGGAGCGACACTGGCTCTCGGGTCCTTCTCAAGCAGGCTGAGCACAGCAAGAGATTTGCCTTGGGCCCTCGGCCTCGCACTAGACATGGAGGCTCTGCGCAACGTCAGGAGTTCTTGGTCGGAGACGCCGAAAATGTCCGAGCCATAAGCAAAACCCGCCAGCGGGCCCGCAGCGAACACTTTGAGCGTCCTCCTGCCAAGAGCCTCTGTGATTTTGCACAGGCGCTTGGTCTCACGAAGAGCGGCGGCAATCCTAGACTTCAACTTGGCCGCGCGGCCTCTGCCGGGCGCGCGCAAAGCTCTGACAGCTGCGCAATCAACCCCCAAGTTGGCAATTCTCCCAACATCCCCTTCCGAGCCCACCAGGGGGCCAAGTTCCTGGGCGAGCTGAGAGGCAACATGTTTGGAAGAAGAAGCCATGCTTATCTTATCCATCGCCAGTTCAGATTTGAGAACTTCCGCGATCCCCTCACGCAGAGCACGAGCACCCACTCCCGGGGCTCGAAAAACAAATCTGGCCGCACCCGTGCAGCTGAGACTCAGGTCACCCACATAGGCATCGACGTCCAAGCCTGAAGGACGAGGCAACTGATCACAACAGTCCATAGCGAAGACTCGGATGAGGCTCGTAGCGAAAGAACATCCCGCCACAAGCCCACGCGCGGCAAAAAAGGGACCCTGCACGAGCCCTCCAAACGAGACATACCTGGCCTCCGAATAGGCCCTGATCGCCAGACGCGCGATTCCAAGGGGAAAC